CCTATGAGGCAAGTCAGGCATTTGACACAACCTAAAATATTCATGAAGTGCCTTCAACCTAGTTTTTTTGATCTTAAATGTGTCACTCATTTGAAATACTTAGCAAGGGCCATGCTGGGACTCTAAATCCTGTAATGGAAAAATTATTCTAGTTTATTGGTACCAAAGAAAGTCAAGCAAATGTTAATATTAACAGATTGCATCTTACCTCCCTTAAATATCACTTGCATAGACAGCCAAGTGACAGTGTCTTAATCAGTCAAAATTAAAGCTGTTAATGTTAGGGCCTGCTTTCCCATTTCAGTGGCTATGGTTCTTTCTATCCTTTGGATAATCAGAATACATTCATAATGAAGGTGACATTGATTCAGCCATTAGGGGTTGATGGTGGCAAGGTTTAATTTGCTTGGTCAAAAATGCAGAGGTGAGTTGTGTCGCTACTAATTCCTTCAGGGACCTTCACAAAGGAAAACTTCTACCAGGTTCCAGAAGGAACCTGAAGGTCTGATTTCTTTGAAAGCAGCTGGATATGATTTATTTACATGCAGTGTCAGGGTTTCGAAGGCTAGCCAGTGAAAGGATGAATGTTTGATACAGGCAGCTGTGCAGGAACAGGCTGTACAAAGTGATACAAAGCAGGAGGACCTGTGCCTCAACCTTGCCTTCCAAATAGTTGTCAAAATATGTTTTCTCCCTAAACTAAAAAATTATGCTTCTCTGCATTCAAACAGCAGCACTGATATACAGAGTGCTTACTAAGGAATTCATTTTGATGATAATTTATTATACTCAAAGTTCATGATACATTGGCTATGTCCAAGAGGTTCCCCTAATTCTGAAGTTTATTTTACTTGATTTTTAGCATATGGTAACATCACAGTATGTTTTCAGTCTACCTGTAATTAGTAATGACCTGTCTACTTTTTTTTTTTCACCTGGCATGGGTTATTGCATCATGTAATTTATTTATTTATTTATTTATTTATTTATTTATTTATTTATTTTTAGTATAAAGTGCTTTTTAAATTACATTGAAGATTTCATTAGTGTCATCATCTAAGAAAATGTAGGGCAAAAGTGAATAAGATCCTCTTGTATTTAACTTGATAATCACTAAATTTTTCCCTAATATTTATTTCAAAGATAAATCCATTAACTATTTACACCTGTAATGTGTTATGGAAATATGATTTTCCCTATGAGAAATCTATATGATTAGATGAACAAATAATTGAAAAAGGTTCAATGCCAGACCAAGTGGGGTGGGGGGAGCAGGCAAGGTGGTACACAGCTGTAATCCCAGCATCCCGGGAGGCTGAGTCAGGAGGATCCCAAGTTTGACCCCACTTTGGGCAATTTAGTAATTTGGAGAGAACTTGTCTCAAAATGAAAAATACAAATGAAAAAGGACTGGGAATATAGCTCAGTGTAAATACTCTGCATTCAATCTCCAGTACTAGGGGGAAAAAAAGAAAGAGAAAAGAAAACAATTCTAGCACAGCTTAGAAATTGTAAAAATTCCAAAAAGGGAAAACATTTAACATCATTATGACAAAAATATAAATTGACTGTAGCTTTGTGAGAACTGGTAAACAACTTGTTGGTTAACTCTACCTCTGACATTCCTGTAACCCCAGCCTCATTCAGCTTCTCTTCTCCCTCCTGAGTTCTTCAAATACGCTGTGTTCTTACCTCCCTTAGGTCATCACACATGTGCATGTGTCTGGTGTAGGTCATCTTTTTCTCTCCCTCTTTTCCCGAAAAACTTCTGCTTAGCTTGATTTTTAGCTGGCTGAAACCTCAGAAAATCAGATTCTTCTATGTACTTTAAGCTTTCTTTATACTGTAATTTTACATTGATTTGTGTAGTCACTTGATTAATGCCTGTCTTTCACCTGTCAGCTCAGTAAATACAAGGATGGTTTTTCTCCTCTCAACATCATATCCCTAGAAACTATAACACTGTAATTGTTTAATAAAGTTTTCCTGTGAAAGAAATTGGAGTTAAAAATTGCATTAACGTAGAGAGCAAAATAAAAGATAGATAATAAGAAATAGAGAGGTAGATCTTTTGCAGGAGGGAAGGGACCCAAGAGTTGGAGGGAGAGAGAAAGGGCAGGGGATGAAACAAGAATCAAAGTTCTGTAAATGTACCAGTTCCCCATGAGGAATGTAAGCATATGTACTATGAACATGCAGTAATAAATTAAAACAGAAAAATTAAAAGTATAATCGGTAATTTGACTGTTTTGGCCAATTGTCCTATTCAAAGCTGAGCATTTAGAAATATAGCTATATATCATCATAACTGCCTTTTGATAGCCATTACAGTTTACCAAAAATGCATGAATTATATATAGATAGCTTGATAAATTTTCACAAAATGAACATTCATGTAATCAGCACTGAAGTCAAGAAACAAAACCTGACCCTCATCCTAGATTTGCCTGTGGTACTAATTCCAGTAATAACCATTCCTTCAAAGGTAACCAGTTACACCTCTTGTATAAGATTTGTATCATGTTCTCTTTTTTATCTGATTTATATGCATTATATTTTTCAGACTCAGCCATATTGAACTATGTATACAGTTCATTCTTTTTCTTGCCTAGATAGTATTTTATTAAACAAATATTATACTGCTTTATCTGTTTCACAGTGGTGGACATTGGGTTGTTTATGTTTTTTAGCTATGCACAACCTCTTGTAGACATACATGCATTTCTGTAGAGTAACATGCCAAGGAATGGAAATGATGAATCATATCTTTTGCAAATATTTTCCCTTATTTGACTTTTCCAAGCACATTTAAGGAGCGTCTGCACCAATTTACATTCTCATCTGCAACATTAAGAACCCCACTCCCATATCTTCAGCAAGACTTGAGAATGAGTGTCTGTCCCTTTCATCTTTCAATGATCTGCACAGGGTACATTTGATTTTATTTAACTTTTAATAAATTTTCTAAATTTGTAAACATAGTTTGTTTCACATGTGTAAACCATGTTATGTTGGCTTGAGTTTACATCCTAGAAAGCAGGGACCACAAGCTAGACAAGTCTTATTCCTTGAATCTAACATACCAAGCATGGAACGCACTTTTGTTAGGGTAAATCTTGCTTTTACTTATTAAAGGACAGTAGATAGAATGGGACAGGGAAAGCCTCAGAAAAGAAACAATATCCGTGTATTTTATCCAAATAGGCAAACATTGATGAGAGGAAACCTCTTAATGTTTGTTAAATTTTATTTTCCTTTTATCTGTTCATCCACTCAGCTCTGTATTTGTGCTGAAACAAAAGAAAAGTGGTTCCCATTATATGTACGTCTTAGTTAACTGCATCGTTTCCTACTCAGTACATCAAAAAGATAATTAAAATTGTATTTCCTCTGACAGCCTGACTACATTTCTTTAGGAAGAGTTTTTTTATGATCTAGCTAAATTGTTTCTATTTCATTACTGATCAGTACCAAAAGTCAACAGAAGTCACAGTCTCAATACTCAATTTACATTTACTCCTTCAAGAAACATGGCTGTCCTGTACACTTAAAAGTTATATGTAGGTGCCTAAGGACATTAAAAAAATCTGATTAGAATTCTCCTTTACCCCGTAGCTTTTACAAAAAGAAAATAAAGGTAGGAAAGAATAAGAACTTCGCCCCAATGCCTTGATCACATTTAATGGTAACAGTTCTTCACTGAAAATAAGAGATTTCTATGGAAATGATAATCACCCTCCTGTGAATATATATAGAACTCATAAAACCTGAAGAGTTTGTAAAGGTCAGCAGGCACTGAAGGTTCTATCCTGGGGATAAATTTCTAAATAACCCCAAGGATAAAAGAGAGAGGGAGAGAAAGAAAAAGTTCAACTTCATGAAAGTAAAATGTGCAAACCTAACAGTTTCTGGATTATCATTTAATTATAGCCATCAATCACCTCACATCTGCTTTCTCCCAGTACTCAAGAAATTCCATCTAAAGCCATATGATCCAATCAACAGAGAATATATAGGTCATTAAGAATCCTAAGAATGGAGAGGAATATTTAAGAAATTACTCTGTAGAAGATTTTAGGAAATTACCTAAAAACACGACAGTAGAATTCATCTTTCAATCAATTGTAGGAAAACCCAAGAGGAAAACTGTCTTTAATTAATAAGATGAACATGGCTTACTCTTATGTACCAAGTCAGATGTAGCCTGGTGATAATTTTCAAAGGAACTTTCTTTCTAAGTTATGTTATTTCAATCTATATTTTCACTAATGTGTGAAACTGACCAGCAGTTAGTCATTTTATAAACATGATTTTTTATTGTCTTTAAATGAGCACGATTTCAAGTTGAGCTGTTAAAAATATATTTATTTCATTAATTGGTGCTGGGGGATACACACATACCTTTATGGATAACTTATTTTAAGGTTTAAAACGTTTCAATTTTTTATTTAAAAAAATTTGTACCAACTGATCCTAAATTGTACAGCTCAGGAATTAAATGGTGTTACTCTCTAAGCTCCAGTGAATTTAGAAAAGTGCATCAACCATGGTAATCTCCTTGTGGTGCTGCATTTATCTCCCACTAGATACTTAAATGTTTCCCTCTTCTTCTTAGGTAGATAATTGCAGTGGGGTTGGGACCAGACAGAGGAGTTGAGCTGGTGCTGAGCAGTGGCTATGAAAAGAAATGTCACCCTGATAGAAATAAATAGACTTTGAGACTATAATCTCTCCCTTCAATTATTTCTTAAACCATAAATGCCCAAGAGAAAGCTAGTCATTTATTTGTCTACAGAAATATTCATCTGAAGTCAAGTATAATTTTAAACTTGTTTTAGCTCTGTATGGCACTAATTCTCCTTATAGCAATCTTCTCTCTAGTACCACCTTTGTTTTCTCTCTAAATATGGGTTTCATCACAATGTTGTTTTGGCCTGTAGCTTTTAAGATTTTTTCTGTTTTAAAAATAATGATGTGTTTATTACCCATTTTCCCAACAGAGTTCATCTGGTGATTTAATGATCAGAAACATTCAACTGAAACACAGTGGAAAGTATGTCTGTATGGTTCAAACCAGGGTAGACAGTGTTTCATCTGCTGCCGAACTTATAGTAAGAGGTAAATGTTAATATCTCTTATTTTTTTTAACTTCACATGTTAACCAGTCATTCCTTACTGGAGGAAAAAATAGAATGAGATAATAAATGAGCATGAAAGTTAGATTATTGATTTGATTGTCCAAAGACAAATTATGGCAGTAAGGATGAGTGTTAACTGAAAGAAATAAAAAGCTCAACTCTGCCTTTCAAATAGTTCCCAATCTAATTGCCATTCCTCACCTACCTCCAAGTTGTGCTTGGAGCATTCCATTAATTCAGTAAATACATTTTATACGAGAGAAAATATTGTGTGTATGTCTGTTTCCAAAAGAATCAGAATTACTCAGAATGCTGGAGACAATGTGCCAATCGGGGCTGCTGTCCGTGGTGCCGATTTGCCACTGGTCTGAAAAATGACTAGAATGTGTCAAAGAATAAAACACTTTAAACAATAGCAGTGCGAGCTGCATAGCCACACCACTGGATTTAGGAAAAGGCATTTTACCATAGGAAAGAACACTGAATTTAGAAAGGTACGGAAATCCTGTTGAATAGAGGCCTCAAAAAGTAGGTGTCACTTGCAGTTGTGTAGTGTTAGGACTTTGGAATTGCTGCCTTACATCTAGATTTAAGACCTAACAATCAAACAGTGAAAAAGAGTGACACCATTAATGCCAGACAAATGGCTTTTTTTCCTAGATGCTTTTGAAATTGGAATGGATTGGAGGTATTAAAGTGGTCATATGACATACTCTTCGATGTGATAGAAGAGGATGACATTTATGGAATTGCTAACCACTGTTTGCACTCTTGCCTTCCTCAGGTTCACCTGGACCACCGGAAAATGTGAAGATTGATGAAATTACAGATACAACGGCCCAACTGTCTTGGAAAGAAGGAACAGACAACCACAGCCCGGTTACATCATATGCTATCCAGGCTAGAACACCTTTCTCCGTGGGCTGGCAAACTGTTACAACAGGTAAAGGGGGAAGGGCAAATGCCAGGGGCTCAAATAGATGGGTTTCAGATCAGTGCTAGGGCATGCAGACTCTTACCTACCTAATCTGTTCCTTTGTAGTGCCTGAGGTCATCGATGGGAAAACACACACAGCTACTGTGGTCGAATTAAATCCATGGGTAGAATATGAATTTCGAGTTGTAGCCAGTAACAAGATTGGAGGTGGAGAACCCAGTTTACCCTCAGAAAAAGTAAGAACTGAAGAGGCAGGTTAGTGTTTTTATTTTCTGAGTAATGGGTTAATAGATTTCTTTGGGTGCATATTTCAATTTTCCTTGTCCCTAGTCTCCAGGCCGGCAGGGGATTTGTCTCAATAATCCATTGTCACAATTATTTGACCTTTGTAATGGCAGAATTTGCCATATGGCATTTGTCAAAAGAAACACATGTAAGTGATTCTGATGTAGTGTGACATTTTCAAGAGTCCATTCCATCGTAAACGATCATTAGTGCACGTTGAGTGAATATATTTTTGTCACTGAAGGTTATAATTAATATCTGACATAGCTACCCTGTTAGTAGGGGAGTGCTGTTTTCATATATAACAACCATTGACAAAGTGGTAAGATAATGACGTTTGAGAGTTTCACTGGTAGGAAGTCTCTCCCACCAAGCTCAGCAAAATGAGCTTCAGCAATTAATAGTGTATTTTGGCCTCTCTAGTGTAAATTAAGAAAGAATTGTGTTTAGAATTATCATATGAGTCATCTGTTAATATAAACCATAAAATTCCTTTAATAATTCTAAAAATATCTTACTATTAGAACTCAAAATAAGAAAGTATGCATAGCATCGCATTATAGAGACAGCTAAGGAAACCTAAATACTTTCCTTTGCAGAATCTGTAATATTAATTGATATTAAATAAAATGATATTTGGAATAGAACTAGCATATCATGTTAGGAACTGGGCTATGATAAAAGTTATGGAATATGTTTTTTATAATTTTAATAATGCTGTTTTACTCAGGATAGTAAGGTATTATGGGAAATAGGGGCACTGTGCCCACCTTGGTGTCCCTTTGTTCACATAACAGGTATTGGGGAGTGTTTGCTATGCCCTCAGCACTTTTAGATATTTCAAATATTGCTGTATGACAGAGATCCACCTTCACAGAGGTTACATTGTAATTGTGTCATAGGGTTTACAAAACATAGAATTCTTCCTGGTAGTGGGGGAATCTAATGTCTGCATGAAGTTTATAAAGAAAATCTCCTAATAGGATTTGAGGATTTTAATTTTTGTCGTTCGTACAAAAGGCCAATGTTGTTGTGAGGGTTGTATCTTGGAGTAGTCACAGGTTAGATGACCATGCTGGATCATTTTCCTGTCATCCCTGGTGAACCACTTTTCCCTATTTTATTAACCTTCACACTATTTGCAAATTCTCTTTCAATTAGGTATTTTTTTACTCTTTGAGAGGTTTTGAATATTTCATAATTTCATGCAAATAAAAATTATTTGATGACCTCAATGGAATCTTTTATAATTTCATGCAAATATCAATAATTTTGAAGGCTGACAGTGTAGCTCAGTGTTAGATCATTAGCCTAGCATGTACTAAGCCTGGATTCCATCCCTGGCATAACATATAGATAAATAAACAATTTTGATCTCACTATTTAAAATATATGTGCACATGCATACATGTATTATGTGTTGATGATTAAATTATTTCAAATACTAAAAATAAGTAACATTGAGTCTTCTTTCAGATAAATATTACTGTATGCAAATAAGGTGTCATCTCTGTCTCTCTGACCCACACAGTTCCAGAAGTGCCTCCTTCTGAAGTCAATGGAGGAGGTGGAAGCCGGTCTGAACTCGTGATAACTTGGGATGTAAGTGTTTGGGCAGCATCTTCCTCATCAGGATGTTGCTGTTCTCACAGTCATAGCCTCCTGTGTGGCACTGGGGCTGGTGATGTTGGCACTGGTGCTCTTGGTGGGGATGCTGGCATTGGCAATGCTGAGAGTGATGCTGATGGTGTTGGTACTGGTGCTTATGCTTATGTTACGTGAGGATACTGGTGCTAATGGTGCTGGGGGTGGGGTTGCTGGTGGTGAGGGTGCTTGTGGTATTGGTACTGGTACTAGGGTAAGGTGGTAGGAATGCTGATACCACCAGTGTTGGCTCTGGGGCTGGTGGTGGGGATGCTGGGGCTCACGGTGTTGACGCTGGTGGTGAGGGTGCTGGCACTAGTGTGGATGAAGATGCTGATGCTGGTGGTACTAATAGTACCAGTGTTGAATGATAGAGCCAGTAGTGCTGATGTTCTGCTCATGCTAATGTTCGTGCTGGTGATGTTGATAGTGGTAGTGCTAGTGCTGCTGCTAACATCGATGGCACCGGCGGCACTGGTGTTACTGGGGGTGCTGTTGGTGATAATGATAGCAGGGGTGCTGGTGCTAATGAAGGTGGTGCTGGTTGTGATGGTGCTATTGCTGGTAGTGCTTCTGATACTATTTGTACTGGTGGTGCAGGTGGTGGCAGTGTCGATGCTGGCTGATGATGGCAGTATTCATTAAGGTGCTGGTGGTCTTGCTGGTGGCACAGGTGTTAATGATGGTCCTAGTAGTGCTGATGGTAGCAGTGCTGGGGCTGGTTCTAATGGTACTGGTGCTGCCCATGGTACTGGTGGTCATTTATGTGATGTTGATGTTGTGGGTGTTGGTAATACAGCCAGTGGCATAGGTGGTGGTGCTAGAGGTTCCAGTGCTGGTGATAACGCTGGTGCTCATGTGGCACTGATACTGGTGGTTTCAATGCTGGTGTAAGTGGCATTTGTGACAGTGGTAGTAGTGTTCACGATGCTGTGTCATAGTCATGGTGTTTCTCGTGCTTCTGATGCTTGTGGTGGTGTGGTAGTAGTGGTTAAGATTTTTGAATGATCGCTCTGTGCCACCCACTATTTCTATCATTTTGCATGTATTTTTCTCATTCCACTCTTGCAAAATTTTATAGCTGTAAACACTAAGGCACATAGGTATTAAACAATTTCCTCAAGGTCACCTGGCATTTTAACACAGGGATGAAAGTAAGTCCTAACTGTTGACTCTTGCCATGCCCTGAACACTTTCCCTGTAACCCTTGATTTCCTGCAGTTGATATCACACATTCCGTCATGTGCCTGAGTCTCTTTTTTTCCTTGCCATCCTTTCATTCTTTGATTTATATCATAATGGGAGAAAATGTAATTAATGTGTTTAAAGTCATGAGGTATTAGTACTAAAATTATCTGTATTTGAAGATGTTGTTAAAAAATAAAAAGACATGATCTCATAATGGATTGTCAGTAGAATTTTTGAAATCACCCAGACACATCTTTGGGTTTAGTAAGTTGTACTTCCTTTATTTTAACTCCTTTATACTTAAGCATTATAACCAGAGGTAATTTCTTTCCATAAAATCAGTATTAGGAAGTAGCTTATCTGTATTTGATTTAAGATATCAGGTATGCCTGCTTGAAAGAATACCTTTCTGGGAGCTCAGACTTGGGCCAAAAGATATTTGGAAACTTGAATAATTACAGAAAATTCTAGTTAATTATCTAGATGTGTATGATTGAGTGGTATATGTTTAAAAGCAGCTGACTTGACTTTTCCATTAGTGTTTTTCTCCTTTTTTAATCCAACTCTTTCATGCAGTCTAGATTATTGTTTAATGACCTTTACGAAAAACTAAAAATGATAGTTGCGTTTACTTTTCCCTTGCCCTATGTGTAAGGGTGATTCTGTATGTCCTTTCTTTGTAGCCAGTCCCTGAAGAACTGCAGAATGGTGAAGGTTTTGGGTATGTTGTTGCCTTCCGCCCTCTTGGGGTTACCACCTGGATCCAGACAGTGGTGACATCTCCTGACACCCCAAGATATGTCTTTAGGAATGAAAGCATCATGCCATTTTCACCGTATGAAGTTAAAGTGGGTGTTTATAATAACAAAGGTGAAGGACCATTTAGCCCAGTGACAACAGTGTTCTCTGCAGAAGAAGGTGTGGAAAACATCAGTCTAAACCTAATAAAACTGTTGTGCTCAAAAACTGATTTAGAGGTTCTTTGTGACTTCAGATGTATTTTTTTTCAAAAGAACAATAATCAAAACTATCATTAGAGTCTCAGTCCAGGTCATAAAGATTGACCATAACTGACTTGAAGTATAAGAGTCAGTGGACCATTAGCACTTGGAGCAGTTCATTAAAACTGAGTCACAGGGAACTCATCCTGAATTCCAGCTTGTGTTGTAGGAAATATAACGGTCCACAGTTCATTTTTCTTCTTGATGTAATAATCATTTAGTCCCTTGGTGCTGCCTTAGGCCAATGCTTAGAGTAATTTCTAAGGCCCAAGAAAAGGATATTAGGTATAGGTAGGACCAAAAGTATGACATTGAAGGATGCAGAATGTGTAGCTTTAAAGGATATACATTCCAGCTGGTATAGATACATGCATATTTCTCTCTGACCCCATTCTATTTTATTGCCTTCCTTTTAAACTTCTCCAGATACATCTGAATTTTCTCTCAAAATCACTTTAGAAAATAATGAAAAAGTTAGAGGGATCATACAGAATTGCCATTTTATTGATCTACAATAGAATATTGGTTGTATCATGTACTTCTACCTAACAGAAAAGGCAGGATGTAACATGTATTGAAAACTTATCACCTGCCAGTCATGACTTACTTTGAATTGCCAAATAAAGGATAAATTGTATGCATTATTCACTATTCCCCTTTTACAAATGAGAAAATGTAAGTTCAATGAAAAAGATGGCTAAATTTGCCAAAATCCATTTAATAACAGTGAAGCCAGTAGTTTAACCCAAGGTCTTTGGCCTTCACTACCATGAACTCATGAAATATGAGCCACAGTGCCCTCACTTCATTCCAGACCTTGCAGTAAATTGCAAAAGCAGTCCACAATTTTCATTACTAAAAATAATAAGTAGAGTCATTTTCTCTTAGGACTCCCACCTGGTTTGTTTTTTCTTTTCATTTTTTATTGAATTCAGGTAGTACAAATGTCTTTGCAAAAGTAAGTGTCTTGCCTTCATATTGTATTACAACCCAGACTCCATTTCCAAAGCTACTAAAACTTACAAAGTTAGATTATGGGACTGAGCAATGATGGTGATTAACCAGGGAGTTTTTGAATACTGCTTGGAATATACATTGGCACCTGATGCCTACAAGGCAAGGGAGAAATCGCCACAGTCTTGTACCTCTTCTTGCTTCCCTTACTTCGCTTCTGCTGTCACCATTCCTCCCTCCACAGATGAGTTGGTAAAGGGCTTTCTGTGCAAACATCAGAAATAAATGCAGCTTGCCTAAGAAAAAAGTGAGGAACTTATTGGAAATCTGCTAGGGCATCCTCTGGGAATCAAGCGAAGAGTTAGAAAGCCAACCTCATGAAGAACTTTAATCAGAGAAGCCCTGGGGTTCAGGAAATTATCTGCTCCTCTGGTGTGCCAGTGCCAAATTGATTGGCCCCAAGCACTCCTCATCTCTTCAAACTAAGGTTCAGACTCTCAGGAGAGAAAATTGAACAGACGCATTCTTAAACCAAGACTCGGTCTCAGTATCAGCCAATCATATCCAGAGAGTGGGATCATTTAACACAGGAATGAATATTGAGGGGTTGGGAATTCCTGCTCAGAAATGAATCCTGAGAATGAATTTTCTCAATCATGAGAATCACTGTGGATCCCCCAAACCCCAAGGGTATTTATAGAGAGGGAATGTACTTACTGTGTGTAACATGTGCATGTCTATTTCCTTGAAGAGTCTGCCATCCATCTAATTTAAATTTGTCCCATCTGTGGGCTCAGGCTGGAGAGGGTAGCCCATGCTTATTGAGCAGATGAACTTTGCTTGACCTTGACCTTCATTTGCCAACACAAAAATAAGTCGCATTTGTAGACGTAGGCATTCTCAGATAGCTGGGCTGAGATGAAGGAAAAGGGAACAAAGACAGGGTATAGAGAACAAAAAAGAAATAAGGGAAGAAAAGAAAGATACCAAAGAAAAGATGAGAAGGAGGAAAATACAGGTTGCTATGGCCATGAAGCAAGGAAAATCCTGCAGCCATGATGCCAGCCCTTCCCAAGCTATAGACTAGTTTCTGTGTTTTCAAGACCTGAGCATGTTCTCAAATATTTTTACAGAATACATATGAAACTTTCACATATGCTAAAATGCTCTTTAAAAATATGTTCAAAGAGTTTTTTATTTAACTGCCAAAATTATTATTATATTTCAATGTCTATTCCTAAACAGAGCCTACAGTAGCCCCATCTCAGGTGTCTGCCCATAGCGTGTCTTCCTCAGAAATTGAAGTTGCATGGAACACCATTCCATGGAAGTTGAGCAATGGACGTTTACTTGGCTATGAGGTAATTTATTTTAAAATTAATTCCTGGCTTGTCTTCATTCATTTAAAATTCTTCATAACAGTAACAATCTTAGATGTGTTGTCTTTAGTTGAAATTTTCTTAACAGAACATTGTTTCATCTGATGATCAATAGATACTGAGTTTAACTTAGCCAGTTAAATTAAAATAACTTTAGTTTGAGTACAAAAAGGAACTGACAACTAATATGAAAGGAAATCACTTATCGTGAGGGTCAAATCTGTTACATGGTGTGTTACATTTTCATTGATATAACAATATACCTTAGAAAGTCAACTTAAGGGAGAAAAGGTTTATTTTGGCTCATGGTTTCAGAGATTTCAGTCCATGCCAACTGGATCCATTGCTTTTAGGGCAGTCGGGGGGAGCGGCTAGTGGGTTTTCTCCTTCTGCTTTTGTTTTAATTGATCCTTCACCATACTGGATGGTGCTGTCCACATTCAGGACAGTTCATGTACATTAGTTTTCTGTCCCACATCCTATCATCTCTGGAAACACCCAGACACATCTACAAGGTATGCTTTATCAATTTCCTGGATACCTCTTAATCCAATCCACATTAACTGTTACAGATGGGTTGACTTAAAATAAGGGTAAACTCAAACTCAAATATTAAATTCAGTGTTTGATCAAGTCAATAGGAAATTACTTTTCTCAAGCTCTTAGGGCTTACTTTCTTAGTGATCATGTTATGTTGTGAGATTCTCTTTTAGGCTCTGGAGAACATAGCTACGTATAATGTAATTCTTGCTTCCAAACACCTTGTTATCCAGTGAAATAAGATGAAATATCTAAAAGGGGATAACATAACACCAAATATATTGAAGGTCAGAACAGGTCATTCAGGCAGGAAATATTTCAGTGGATAAGAAATATGAGCCACCTTGATAGACTCCACGGTGGTGGTAAGGTTTAAAAAGGACTCTAAAGGAAAAGTAAACAAGCATGGAGGGAGTGAAAATATTCCAGATTTAGCATAGTATATTATAGGGAGTAAAAGAGTAGAGGCCATCTGTAGAATAAAGTTCTATTAGAGCAGGTGATTAAAGAAAGAGGCAGAATGGTCAGGTTCTAGATAGCTTGGAATCCTATGCAGAGTCATTTGGACTGGACCCATATTTTGTAGGAAATAATGAAGTTAAGTGACAAGATAAACAAAAATTTTAAGAATATTTATCCAACAGTGATATTATAGGGGTCATAGTAGTTGGGTTTTCATCTCCATCACAGCAGCCTTCCTGGGAAACTTCCCTTCACATGTATAATGCCTGACTCAGTGGCACATTTACATGGTCACATTCATATCACATGGCTGCATACCCTCCTATGCCAACACAGCCTTAAACGCTTACACCACAGTAGCCTGAGCTGAAGCAGTTACATTCTTGTTTGAGATGTTTAAGTAAACAATATGGAGATCATCATTAGAAAGCATGATGCAGTCAGATTTTGTGGCACAATTCACTCTTCTTCTGATAAGGACATGGGCAAGCAGCAGAAAGCTAATCTGTAGAGATGAGGTAGAACAGATATGCTCTCCTGTCACCTAAAGAATAAAGGAAATGGTGGGTGATGAAGCATCAAAGAGAGCATAGTAAAATAGCTCTTTGATAATTGCCCAATTTCCCAGTGCCCTGACTATGTTCTTTTCCATGATATTACTTTGCCCTTCTCAGTAAATTCTCTTTATATTTGAACAGCTTTGAAAGCATTTTTGTTCTTTTATCCAAACAAGCATTGACTTGAATAAAGTAGAGAAAGGACAGACACTAAAGCAGTGATGCTCAAAGTAGAGCTCATGGATGCCATTCCCTGGAATTACCTGAATTTATCATTGCAAGTGAGGAAATTGCTCTCACGGAACCCACTGAATGCAGACATCTAGGTCCTCTCGGTGGTGTACACGTTTTGTAAGTATAGTTTCCATAAGGAAATATCTTCCGGCACACTTCAGTATAAGAAACACCAGTCACAACATGGGGAGAAACAGTTTTCCAGACTTAAGGAAAGTGAAGAAGTAAACCACACACACACATACAGTAGGGCAGTGTGATCAGCCTCTTAAGGGAAGCCAAGAAGAGTTGGATGGAGGAATGGTCTAATTACATGTCAACGGATATAAGCAGTGAATCACAAAGAGGAGGCCACAGCAGCTTCCCCATGATTAGAAATGGCAGTGACATTGACAGTGCAGCAAAGTGGGATGGAAGGAGGAGCACAACTATAAAGCAGTGGACCTGAGACCAGTCCCATGGCAAATCCCAGTTCTGCCACTTACTGCCTGTGTTAGAAGAGTGACATAAGTACTGTGCACCTAATTTTCCTCACCTGCAGCATGGGGAGAGTAGTAGGCCTAGCCTCAGAAGGATTTTGAGAGGAGTGAATGAGGTGAGATATGTAATATGCTTCTCATAATTTCCGGCTTATCATAATCTACCAATTGGTTCAAGCTGTATCTCAAAAGAATTTTTGAGATATTATTTTATCTGTTTTACCCCAGTAAATATTCTCAGACAAATGTTTAACTCTAAGCTCCCTTCCTTTAAGACTATCAAGAGGAGTTGCCTTCCCTTTAGCTTTATTTCCAAAGTTCAGGCCCTTAATGAAATTGTCCCATGTACCCCGAAGGATGAGAACAGAAAAATGCAACTAGGGGAAAACAGAAGAAATATTTTGAGTGACATTGGAGAAAATAAGGTTTGGGAGCTTTGAAAATCTCCTTGGGTTCACATCTTTTGCAGGCAGCTCCCAGGTTGGTGACAAGATCAGAGAAGGGGAAACTTTGTTTCCCACACTGAGCAGTGATTTCCCATTCACTAAGAATGGCCCTGAAATGTTAGAGGTAAAGGCATCAAATCTCTTAGCTTGTTACCTTGGCAAGGCTTCTGGAAAGGAGCCACAAGAGTGAATGTGACTGAATTCCCTTTTAGTTGAATACTTAAAAAAATTAATGAACACATTTGGCAGTGCTCACTTGGGGAACTGAGATGCACATCCCCCATGAAAACCTTTGCCTATTATGTCAGGATCACAATTCTGACTTAGTTGTACCTTGTGAAATAATTAAGAGAAGAGTGTGTGTGTTTGTGTTTGTGTGTGCGTGTGTGTGTGTATGGACTTCAAGCATTGTAAGACTCTTAGCAATTATTGGTGATTGTTGGATATCATGGGTTAGATAACTTTTTTTAATATATAAATTTAAGCTGATACGAATCTTTTAGATAAGGATATTCTCTATGAAAGTAGAATTACACCACTGTTGGTCATGTCAGGAAAGAGTGTTTGATTTATAGAGAGAAGAGATTCCTAATGGAGCCATCCTGGTGTGCAGTTAAGACCCACACCGTTTTAGAATTACACAAGCCTGCATTCAAATAAACTGGGTTAAGATATAACCTCCACAAGGTACAAGGTACTCTTATTGTTTGTCCAGTGATATTGCCCTTTGTAGTAGCTTGCCCTGGGGTGGGGTGGGGCAAAGAAATCTGTAGAAGGTGTGCAAAAATGTGTCAACCGAATAGACACAGTTTTGGCTTCTGTCTCACTGCCGCATGTCCTTGAGCAGATTACTAATGCTCTCCAAGGCTCACTTAAAATAGAGATAATAATAGTAACTCACAGCTGCATTTGAGAATTAAATGAGATAAAGCAGCCATTGTCAAAATGGCCCAACAAGACTTGTAGCTTCCACTTTGTCTGTTTTGAATATTGGCCTTGAGGGTGAGATTTCATTGCAAGAAAAAAAATTGAAAACCTGTGAAGTAATACAGAATACTTAGTGCAGTCCCAGTGTGTCCACAGTGGCTATTATTCCTATTGCCCTTTGGGCAGGAGGCAAAAAGATAAGAGCAGCAAGAAAATGGAACTTACTTTTGATACTAATTGTGGGCTGAAACGTATTATATCTTACTTGTTTTGTAAAGAACACCAAACAGACTATCCCAATGTAGCATGAATATTATATTGAAAGAAAAGAACGATTGAAAATTTCTTCCCCAAGTACTTGGTATATCTGAAGATAATGAAACAAGTTAAGAGAAAGATGTACTAATTGGGAAAATCTTAAAAAATAATTTGTGTAATTCTACCTAGATAAAAAAATGTGTCTTTTTTTAGTTTCAGTAATGATTTTAAAATTAACCTAGAAAACTAAATGACTTAGGAGAGTATTTAATTATCAGTCGTGTGGCTAACTTTCTGGGTTGCAGTTTCCCCAATTTGGTTTGAAAATTGTTAATAGCTCCTGCCTTTCTCTCATCTCAGTGAGAGTTGATCATGTGCTATGTGCCATGCTGAGCACACATCATCATTAGCATCTAGACTAATTTTCTTTCTGATTTGACCAAGGAGTAGTTGAGGAGCTCATTTCCCTGGGCTCTAATTTATTTCATCTGCTAAGCCGTTACGCCCAGGTTTAGATCTTGACTGGTGCCCTTTTGGATAGAACGAGAGAGCCAGATATGATAAAGATGAGCCAGAACCTTTACTTTCAGAGAGAGTGGGTACCTGAGGAACAAACCTCTGAATTTCTTGCCTGGTATATACACTGTCAATTTCTTTAAAGTCATTTTCTGTTATGAAAGAATAACATACTGGAGTTCACCATAGTCTGTTCCATATTTTTATGAATAACTAGAAAAGAGAAGCTTGAAAGAACCAAACAAAAAGAATAATGTTAATTACCCTGAATTGATTAATTCATGGCATGTACAATATTGAAATTCCACACCCTATCCCATAAATATGTACAATTATTACTTATTAATAAAAAATTAAAAGGAAAAAAGAATGAACCTTGGAAGGACAACTTGGATAAGCAATTTAAACAAGCCTACACTAGAATAGAATATTTGGGGAAACCTCAGAGATTTTTGTAAAAGTTTGGCAAGTAACATATTTAATGTAATATAGCAGAATGGCTAGCAGAAACTTCCTTGATGCCTTCATCCAGCCTCCTGTTCCCAACAGCTGTTGAGAACATG